GGTGGCGGTGGCGGTGGCGGTGGCGGTGGCGGTGGTGGCGGCGGTGGTGGCGGCGGCGGTGGGGGTGGCGGGGGCGGCGGGGGCGGTGGGAGTGGTGGGGTGGTGGGGGTGGTGGTTTGTAGCAGCATCAGTGGCAGTTGCAGTGGAAGTTGCCGTGGCAGCTGCAATAGCAGCAGCAGCAGCAGCAGTGGTTTTTGTGCAGCAGCAAGCGCAGTAGTTTGTAGGAGGGTGCCTTCCGGTCGTTGACACTACTGTTGTCAGAATTGTACTGTGGTGCCCATTGCTCTTCACAGCTTCCCGGCTCTGTTGACATGAGAAAGCCCAAAGGCGTTTCTGGCTGCCTGCCTGCGAAGCGATGACGACGCAAAGCTGGACCATTGGCATACTCAAACATCCTAAGACCTGGGCCAAGCACCCCACCATGCCACAGTTTCAATGGCTTCTCGCCCCAAGCCTTCCCTGCCAATGCCAGCATCAAGCCCTCATTGTTCAGGATGCACTTCTCACAGTCCTGCAAGAAAACCCCCTGTCCCAAATCCCCACAAGAGCAATGATGGCTCCCACGTCGCAGGAACGGCAAGGCTTCACCTCCTCCACCTTCGTGAAGGGTGCCGAATCCATCTCCAGCCTTCAGATGCAAGGTGCTCTCAGGAGCCTCAAGACTTCGCATTCGAGGGCGCCCACTCGCCGGTCGGTGACCCTCCAAGCTTGGAGAGGCCGACATCTCTTGCGGCGCCGAAAATCCTGGCAGCGACCTTGGAAGAAACCCGTGGTATGCATTCGAGAATGAAGTACCGCGGAACACATTCCCCGTTCCTGCAGGTCTTTGTGCCAAGATCACTGCTTCTGGCGATCGCCATTTACACTTGCGGAAAGCTCTTTGGGAGCTGTTACTCTGAGGCTCAGCCTGATGCGGCATCTGGTCCTGTCGGCAGACGAACAATACGACACTTACAGTCATGATTCATGATGACTTGTGATCTGCGCAAAGCCGCGAGCAAGCCGGCAGAAAGGAGTTTTGCGGCACTCGCTCACGACTAGGTTCTAGGTACCAGGTCAAGCGAGGTTTACGGTAAAGTGAAACAAAACAGCACTCAAGCTCGCACTCGACGCGAGTGTATCTCTGTTTGATTCGCTCAGGGCAATAGAATTCTTCGAGAAGGCGCCACAGCTAAGATCCCAGCGTGCTGAGAAGAGCATGCAGGGGGATGGGGAAGAGCCTTCTCAATGTGTTGCGCCTTTACTTCGGCGAGAAAACGGATGCGGTCTTGGCGGGCCATCACCACACCCTTGGGAAAAAAAACACCTGACTTCCGAGGGGAAGTCCAGAAGTCCTTGTCTGAAATCTTGTTGATCAGAGGCGGCTGCTTAATATCTCTTATTTCAGACATCGTCCCTCCATCTTACATCGTCGGGGCGGATTGAAATGGACCTCTGTCTCCCGGGACAAAGCAGGTGCCTCGAGCAAGCGATTTCACCGCGATGCTGACGAATGACTCTGCCCGCTCAAGCAGCATTCCGAATCCATCCCGCGAGTTGTTCTGCACCAAGAGCAATACTACTTCTGCAATCTTGAAACCTCTATGAGCCGGCAGCACCGCGGTACCCTGCCCAGTTTGCCATCCGGCTGACACGCCCGCGACATAGCGTGGGCCATTCGAAGAAAAAATAATTCTGCTTGCTCTGGGGTAATAAACAGAAAATGCAGCAGAGACCCGGGTGCATCGGGGTCCAGCCTATTTAGGCAGACTGCCCGGGGACTGTGGAGAAAGATGGTGACAAGGCTTCGCCAAGGAAGCAAATGCAAGACGTGGTTCTACGACAAGTCCTGATACGCACAGGATCAGAATGCAGAAACATGGAAGTCCATCAGTTGCTTCTCGAGTCCTAGCCCTGAGGTCAATGCCATGCTTGAGAGTATCGTACCAAGATAGGCCACGTCAGCATGGGAAAATCGTCGGAGTTTCTATCAAATCAACACCCGACGACAACACCTGGCAATGCCTTCACCTGCCATGATGGCACGGAAAGATCGTCTGGCATGAAGCGCACCTGAACTCTGTCCCGGCTTCGGTGCAGCAGATCCTCCTCTACAAAAGTTTCCGTCACGGTGGCTTCCACCCAGCCGTTTCGGTAAAGCAAAATGGTTGAGCCCTCTTGAAAGCGCCGCCGCACGTGTTCGGGCTGGACCACGAGAGTGCCGTCCTCTAGCTGCACTTGCAGGCCTTCCGGCCCCTCTCGCACAATTCTTCCAGGCTTCCATTGCGTCTGCATGTCCCCTTGCACCAGCACTTGGACCTCGTCGAAGTCTTCAAACGTTGGCATGAGCTGGCTGAGGGCGACTGGAAGAAACTTTCCGTCGACAAGCACTGTCGCAATCGAGCTTGGTAATGATCCTGAACCTGGATCGACCACGCTTCCTGACAGGAGCTTGCCGCTCAGTTGAAGAAGTACAGGGTCTCCGACTCTGTAGATTGTTTCCTTGGCTGCAGCGGGCTTGGCCCGTCTGCAACTGGGACGACTGTGAATTCGGTGCCAATGTCGCCGACGCCAGCCGAGCTCGGCTCGCCGCCGAGCGGATCAAGGGCCTCGTTATAGTCTGCATCGAAAGAGATTCCTATGAGGTTTGGAAGTCCTCATCCATGAAATTGATTTCATCCTCCTCGAAAGTGATACCAGCAAGATCGCATTCCTGCTTCGCAAATATGGACATGTTGCCAGGGAGCATGGCGCTGTTCCCTGACACGCTCATTCGGATACTGCCACGGCCCCTTCTGGGCAAGTTCTCTAGTTGGCTCAAACTTGGCTGCTCGATGGTGACGCTGACATAGGCATCCTCTAGCTTCTTCCCACGACGGAAGAGGGGAATCTCTCCATGAAAGCCATGTTCTATGAAGGATTGCCCAGGAAGCACAGCGTTGCCCAGCAGGCGCACTGATTGGGACTTGGACTGAAACTTCACGAAGACACACGCAAGGATGGCATGCTGCTCCATGACGCCGTCCAGGCAGATCGTTCCATTGCTGCTCTGCCCATGCTGCAGATCGTTCGAAAACGTGGCGGTTTCTCGGACTGGTCGCCCTCCACCCATCTAAGAAGAGTGCGGCCTGAGACCGCCATCTTCTGCAGACTGACCTTGTAGCGGTGGTCGTCTAAAGGCTTGAAAGGAAGGTGCTCATCGAGGTCGATGGCACTCGCTTTGAGCACCAACAGCACTCCAACAGCGGTTGCAACGGGAGACACAATCATGGTCGATGCTACAGTCCACAATGCGGAGATCATCCAGTCCAGGGAGTCCTCGTAGCTGACGAGAGCCTGGAAGCTGCAGACCATGAAGATGGAGAAGAGGAAGTAGAGGGAAATGAAGGTCCAGAAGATGATGTGCTGACTTTGTAACTCCAGGCCGCGAAGTTTCTCGAAGAGAGGCATCAGGGCCAGAAACGGAAGGAGACCGACGACGGCAGAGACCCAGGCCACCACAACGTTGCGGACGATTTTTGCTATCGGGTCCGTCTCCAAAAACTCACATCCTTCTTGTCCGCCGCCTGCAGCACCCTGGTTGTAGAACGCTGCAGCAACAGCAAGTCCACTGTAGAACTTGCAGAGGGTCACGGCGGCACGCTCTGCGCAGGTGACTCGCAAGGCTGGCTCCAGCACACGGGACCACTGGCAGTAGGTGATGTACAAGGAACATAGCTGCCGGCAAACCCCCTCGTCATGGAACTTCTCCAAGAAGCTTCTGGCCTCTAGGTGGAGTGCAGTCTGGCCACTGACCTTGTAGAGGGAGTGGAGGAAGTCGTAGTCGACACCTAGCTGGGCTTGGACCATGCTCCAATGCACGTTCTCCGATGCCAGGCGCCTCACGCCCACAGACTGAAGATCCTGACGGAGTTTCATCAGCTGTCGATACTTCGCGAAGAGAACAAACTCTTTTTTGGCTTGCTCCACGAGCATCTGGCGTGCCGTGTCCTTCTGGAGTAGTTTTTGAAGCCTCTCCTCGTACTCTTTGTCTGCACGGCGGGCGCGAAGGAGGAGGCCAATGGCTGCGACGATGGTGACCCAGGTGATGATGGCCGGCCATCGGATGACCCAGCCCCGGTTCTCCTCAGCCACAAGCGACTCCAAGCCCTCCAAGGAGAAGATCAGCGCCGCTGCAGAGCAGCCGAATGTCGCGACGAAGGCGCGGGCGATGACACTGAAAAGGCTGGGTTTCCGAGGAGACATAGCCTCCACTCCGGCCTCCCTATCCTCCGCTGTGCCAGGAAAAACGGGCAACAGGTCGAATCTAATTGCACATGTGGCAGTGCCATTTGCAGACTCTGCGAGTGTCATTCCCACCGTCGACCAATGGTTCTCGGTGTCGTCCCAGAAAGCGCACTCAGATTCGACGTCGCCGAAAACCTTCATGGTGAGCATCACTGGATCGGCGGAGAAATTCTGCGTGATCGGCCCGCCTGCATTGAAAAAGGACATGCTCACAGGCTCGGCAACAAGCGAAGTGCCGGACTCTTGGGCCAAGCTCTCCAACATTTCGAAAGCGAGAGAACCATTGACAAATGTCGCCAGGCTGAGGACGATTGGATCGTCTGGGTCCTGCTGCAGTGATCGAAGAAAAGGAACCGGCAACTCGACCTCAGCTGTCTCGAATGTCACTTCAACCGACTTGTCAGTGACCCGGTAGGCATAGGTCCCGATGTCGGACCCGTCTGCTCCCTTGGTGATCACCTTCAGAAGCAGGTCGGGATCAGACTCGTCGTCTGCCTCAGTCTGGTTGATCGGTGCAACCTGCATGTCGTCCAACATCTTGAAGACGTTCTGGACTGAACGGGCCTGTCGCATGCTCACATCCTGGACGCTGCGGCTGACTTCCGCGGCGAGAACTTGAGAGTTACCCTCGGTGAAAGTTTGCGTCGTCAGCGTCGTTGTCGAAGTAGTTGAGGTGACTGATGCTGTCGTGGAACTGCTGGTTGTCGTGGAAGTGGCAGAAATGGTGGAGGACGTTGAACCTGTCATAGTCGTGGAACTGGTGTATGAGGACGTAGAGGTGGTGCTGCTGCTGGTCGAAGTCGTGCTCGTGCTGCTACTAGATGTAGTCGAGCTCGATGTGAATGTTGAAGATGTGCTTGATGAGGAGGTTGACGTAGACGATGTCGATGTGGTACTGGTGCTGGTGGAGGATGTGCTCGTGGTGGAAGTGCTGGTAGTGCTGCTGGATGAAGTCGAGCTGGATGTGGACGTTGAGGATGTGCTGGAAGAGGATGTTGACGTAGACGATGTCGATGTGGTACTGGTGCTGGTGGAGGATGTGCTCGTGGTGGAAGTGCTGGTAGTGCTGCTGGATGAAGTCGAGCTCGATGTGGATGTTGAGGATGTGCTTGATGAGGAGGTTGACGTAGACGATGTCGATGTGGTACTGGTGCTGGTGGAGGATGTGCTCGTGGTGGAAGTGCTGGTGCTGCTGCCGGATGTAGTCGAACTCGATGTGGATGTTGAGGATGTGCTTGAAGAGGATGTTGACGTAGACGATGTCGATGTGGTACTGGTGCTGGTGGAGGATGTGCTGGTGGTGGAAGTGCTGGTAGTGCTGCTAGATGTAGTCGAGCTCGATGTGGATGTTGAGGATGTGCTCGATGAGGAGGTTGACGTAGACGATGTCGATGTGGTACTGGTGCTGGTGGAGGATGTGCTGGTGGTGGAAGTGCTGGTAGTGCTGCTAGATGTAGTCGAGCTCGATGTGGATGTTGAGGATGTGCTCGATGAGGAGGTTGACGTAGACGATGTCGATGTGGTACTGGTGCTGGTGGAGGATGTGCTGGTGGTGGAAGTGCTGGTAGTGCTGCTGGATGTAGTCGAGCTCGATGTGGATGTTGAGGATGTGCTCGATGAGGAGGTTGACGTAGACGATGTCGATGTAGTACTGGTGCT